ACAAGAAAATCATTGACCTTTTTTCCCTTCCATTAAGTTTGCTGTTTACTGACATCCCTTCTCCAAGTTCTAGAACTTGAGATATTCTGACCTGATGAAATCTCTCCTCTTCTTCATCACTGTGTTGTCATCCATTCACTCAGGCGACAACTCTTGACCGAGCACCTTCTGTGCCAGTTACTGAGTGTGCAGTAGTTGTATACACAGGCTCTGCTCTCAAAGAGTCCACAGTCTAGAAAGAGAGGGTTGAAGCACAGAGTGGTAATTGCTGTGGAAATTTAAGCTCCGGGAGCCCGGGCAGCACACAGGGGAGACAACATTCCCGTCAAGGATTTGAGGACAGGAAGGATGGACTTCCCAGAAGAAATAACGGACACTAGGTCTTCCTTTTAATGTTCTTTACTTTCCTTTCTATCAAGCTCCTGGGATTTCTTTTTGAAAAAGATGAGAAGCCAAAGTTGCGAGAAAAGTAAACAACTTTGTTTTACTCATTGACTGTAATCCAGGGCAAATTGCTTAATTCCTATGAAATTCCACATCAACGTCTGTATATACAGGACCAGTAACGATAGAATGTACCTCAAAGCATTGTTACAAAGATTAAATTAGATAATCGTGTTAAAGTTCCTATAAAGCTAAAAAGTCTTTTAGAAATGTGGACTGCTTTTGTTGCTAACTCTGCTGAAGGCCGTAATTCCAATTAACCTATGTGAGCTTTCCCAGCTAACCCAAGATTCTGGTCCTTCAGAGTTTTGGCGCATGTTGAGCAACTGGGGAAAATGCCATTTCACAATATAAGTCATAATTAATAGTAATAACACTTGTGAAATCTTCGTTTACACACAAACCCTCCTCAGTTTTAGTATGAAGAAAATGGTTGATATACAGTCTCCCCACTTGCGGATCTCTATAGGAGGCTCCGTTTGCCCTTCTTCCCTATTATGTTAGACTCAGTAGTCCTCTCCCCTTGATCAGCCCGCTTCTTAAACCCTATCAGGTCAAAACATCAGAATGTGCTCGAGGAACTTGCTGGCAAATAAAACAAAGGAAGCAGTAAGTCCAGTGACTCAGAGAGTACGTGGGGGTCTGGACCTAATACCAGACTTCCCTTGAAGGGCCTCAAGATTGTATTTTCATCAGAACCTATTTTTTTTAATGTGAATGTGAACGGGTACAGTTTATAAATGTCCCTTGTCCACCTCAGCTTCCTAACTCAATTTTTATTCACCTAAAGCACTGTACTGACCTAAAATCAAAATCACCTGTGCTTAAATCCTGTGGCTCACTACTACCTAGGAGCAGAGTTCAAGTACTCTAATTTGTTATTTGGAACCTGGACATACCCTGCTGAGCCAGGCATGGCTCCTTCAAGAAAATCTGGGTCTCTGGGGAGAGTATCTGGTAAATAGTCCTCAGAACAAAGTTCTCATGAATCTCTGCGGGGCTCTCATTACCCACTGCAAAATAATTGTGGATGTGTGCTTGTGGGCTCTTGAGGAAAGGGGATGGTGTTTAAGAGCAGAGCAGTTGCTCAGGGTTTGTTGAATGAATGAATGAATGAATGAATGTGATAAAGGCTAATTATAGTTCACTTCTATAGCTGGATTTTTCAAGTTTCATACAGGTTCAAAACAAACCCAGTCAGTTAAAAATCAAGCTACACAGAACTCACCACAGATTTTTTTATTGTTTTGCTTTTCACATCCCAACTTAAGACCAAAGAAATTTGACACAAAATGAGAAACCTCCTACCACAAGGTAGTACTTGTGGTACTGCCTAGTACTGCCTAGTACTGCCTAGTGCTTGCACTGGGGTTAAAACCAGGGCCCATTCATTATTTTAACATTCATTCTACAGTCTCCAAATTGTAGAAGGAGAAATGACACTCCTTATGATGACCCTAAAATGCAAGCTATTTGAACAAGGAGTGACAAAATCCCTCATGAAATTAAAAATACAAGAGAGAAGTCTCCTATAGAGGTAAAAAATTTTCTACGTATTTTCTTCCTCAAATTCTAGAATTCTCTTTTTGTGAATGCTGAAGTTGGCCAGTTCTATTTCATGCTGTAATATTCACATGCATGTTAACCACCGTTCCTCACACTTTAATGAATGGGAACAGTCCATTTAAGGATAAATTAGACTTGGTTATTTCTTGTTTTAGTGATGATTTTTTTCTTAAAAAAAAAAAAGAATTTACCTACAACATACTTTATAATAGAATGTTCAAAGAGAAATCTTGGCAGCTTTTTCAAAAGGTGCAGCATTTACCACATGTGGTTCTTTTTTCACTCTTGGGTTTCATTCTTGAACTAAAATTAATATGATTCCCTGGCTCTGGATCTTCTACCCAGCGTAGTTTTAAATAAAATACAACATACAGAGGCTTGTTCATAATTTCTTGGTCTCTCACTTATTGAATACTTCTATGAGGGAAAAAAGTGTATGAATGCTCAGGGGTCTTATTTAAAGCATAGGGGGAAAGGTAGAAGTATGTGTTGAGTAAACCCACATTGCCCCCAGGGCATTGTTGCGATAGCTTTTTAAAAGAGAAAATGGTGGTTAAAAGAAGTAATTCCCAATATTTCCGGCACACTAAAACCTTGTAATTCAGATGAACTCTGTACTGAGACTCTTTGCATCTCATTTTCTCATTAGGTTTTTATTACAGCCAACAAAACTTTCAGTGGTGAATTACTTCCCTTCTCAGGGGTATCCCAGACTCCCATAATGTCTGGACAAACTAAACTAATGACATGGTCTTTAACCAAGTTGTAGGGATTAAGAAAAAAGGGGGAATGTTAGGAACTTCTCATCTCTACACTAACCAAAGTGTGATTGTTCCAGTCCTTTGTCTTGCCTATGGAAAAAAGAATCAGAAAATGGAAATGTCAATTGGCTTGAAATTCCACTTAAAATCATTTAAAGATGTCTCTTAAGTTCCCTGGAAATAGAAGTCACTTCCAACAGAGATAAGGACAAATTAGTCACAAGGCTCAAATAAGAATTAGTGTAATAAGTAAATGCTTTAAAAAGTAGACAAGTTCTGGAGAAACATCTGCTGTATGCCTGTTGACCAGAGACGCCAAAATAAAAACTAGTAGATTTGTTTTAACACAGGAGGTTGAAAAGCATTTTGTTTCCTACCTTTGTATTAGGTTATTCATTTATAAGATATAATGTTTATTATGGATCAGGTATAAGGAAGGCTAATTCTTGCCCTCAAAGAACTTATAGTCTAGTTGAGAAGGCAAAACTTAATGTGATTTTAGAAAGAAAGGAGCAGAAGACAAAATATGATTTAGTGTTAAAGAAGATGGTACAGATGCTCAATGACTAACAGATCAGTAGGAAGAGATACTTAGGGCTGGGACTATCAAAATTATATCTTTTTAAGAAAAATACCAGATGGCTTCATTTATAGGAGGAATATAGAGGATCAAGGGGAAAAAATGATAATAACAATGAAAAAAAAAAACCCACAACACAATAAAACAAAAATAAATAGACAACTATAAATCAGAGACATTCTATAGGGGAAGGGGTGAAAAAGGGATCAAAACAAGGGCGGGAAGAGCACAGGGCACTACGGTGACGGTGCACCGGTGAATTGGTGGTAGAAATTCTGTGGAAACTACACCTGAGAAAAGAAAGCAAATATTGTAAGAATAAAAAACCAAATAAATAAATTTTTTTTAAAAATTACATCCCTCGTTCTAATTGCCATTTACTCGCAAAATTGTAAAGCATTTACGTGATGTGCCATTGCTTCCCAACCAGCAGCTGTTCAAAGGGGCATACAAGAAACAGTGAAGCTGGCAGGAGAAGTATCTTTAGAATCCCCCTGGATTTGTTAATGAGGGAAAAAAGGCACAATATCATGTTGGCTACAAATACAAGAATTAAGCAGATTTTGCTTGTAAAATATGATATTTAAGGGACAAGAATACAGAACTCTAACTGTAATTTTGGCTTGAGTTTTTGTTTCTATTAAACTATTTTCTTCATGCTGAACAAGTTCTAAATTTTGGAGCTGAGTCCTGCTCGAAAATAAGTTTTATTTTTTTAAAAATCTATTCACCATGTACTTCCCTTCTCAAGAAGGAAGAAGAAAAGTGGGTTAGAAGTGCAAGCTACATTCTAAGGCAATGAGAATTTCCTAATTACTAATAAAAGTGTAGAGTGACAGAGGAGGAACGTGGAGATATTCAGCATCCTTCAAAATGAAGCCATCTATCTGTCCAGCAACTTATCTTGAAATCAAGGGGCTTCAAGTGTAGGTTTACACTCTTGGTCTTAAAATGCTTTCCACTTTCTAGGCTAGCAAAGATCCTGTTCTCTTTGTGTTTCTTACCTTTTTAGTCTTTGCCACGCAGGCAATTTGAGCTCAATTAGATTTGTTGTAATGGATTTAAAATGCTAACACAAAGGCATGTCTCATCTTGTGTTTTGAGTAAATTTAGGCAAGTTTAGAGAATTGCAGTAAGCATTTTTTCCTCCTTCCTTGATTGCTTTCTGAGTCTTCCCAAGAAATGTGAGTTCTTTCCCCAATTCTCAAAAGAGGGACTCTTTCCTAACTGTTGTACACCCAGGCAAAAGAGCACACTCTCGTGTTTCCTTAAGGGGAGCAAACCTGTAATAATGTGAAATAATTAAATTTAGCCGTAGAAGAAAAGTCTTCTTGGAAACGTTCTAATCAAGACTCCAGCTTTCTGAGTGTGTGTGTGCTCCCTACTCTTCGGTTCTTCCTAGTCAAGGTTTTGCATTTCGAATGAAAACGAACTGACAAAGCGTGAAAGTGGTCTAAGGAGCAAAACAAAGCCAGCCAGCATGCTTCTGGTGCGCCAAGATTAATCAATATTCCAGAAACCCCGGGTTTCCCCCTCTGCCTGCCTGTGGAGTTTTCGTTTTTTCCCCACTCCCCTTTGCCTGGGCACAGACTCCTCCCCTTTTCTTAAGTTGCTCTGATAGTAACTTGCAGTTTCAGAGCACATGCCTGCTGCGCTCCCTGCGTGCGGCTGCTCCGCTCTACCTGCTGGGGAATTCACCTTGTCATTGCTGGGGAATCTGCCTCCCATTACAGAATCAGAAAAGGTAGGTCTAGCGTCCTGTGTTCCTGCTGCGTTTAGTTTCTCCTTTCATTTCTCTGCCAATATATTTTGTTTCCCAAGCAGAGGCGTAGCGAGAGTAAAAGCTAGCCATTTTGGTAGATAAAGTCCGTGTGGGTAATTTAATGTTATGAGCCTGCGGTGTCTGTTTATCCCGGGTTCCTCTTAATGTGGGGTTGAGTCATTTCAGGATGGATTGGGGGCAGATTGTGACTCGAGATCTAATAAAAATCAAGACTGACCTCCTCTGTGTAAAAAGGACTGTTAAAGGGGATCAGAGATTAGTTAAGAAAAAAAAAATCTGGTCTCTCCTGTCTCCCCTTCACTTCCCCCTAAACTTTTAATCTGTTGCGAAGTTTTAAACCAGTAGGAGGTCTTATTTGCACTGACCCCCAACCTGCAATTTTATTTAAAAGTCAAAAACTGTTAAGACAAATCTTTTTTTCTACACTTGGATTTGCCAAAAGCTTCCAAGGAGTTCTTTGCTTTCCAGTTCCCTTCGGACACACACACACACACACACACACACACACACACACACACACACACACACACACACACCCTGGCTGCCTGCACTGCCAGATACACTCCATTGGCACAACTGGTTTTTATTGGGATTGATCAGGGGAAAGATTATGGATTAGAAGTTGTGTAAGGAGACAGGAGGAATCCTTTAATTTTTTTCAAAATAGTTGATTTCCACCAAGGAGAGATTTACTTAGATATGTTTAAGTAACCTAGGAGCACTTTGAAGAAACTAGAAACCACACACTGTAATGTTTGGAATGAAAATTGGAGTCATCTCCTCATCTGTGCTGGAAATCCTAAATTTTAAAATACTTAGAAGTCAATGATAGTTTCCTCAGAAGCGCCCAGTATTTTTGCCACAAAGACTAATGCCACTTAGCCCTTCTCTTTATAATAGCAATGAAATGAATTACGATTTCAGATCATATATAGAAGGTCCAGACTACTTTGCTTATTTCCTTGAAAAAAAATTTAAGTTAGCCTATAAAACAAGCAAATATATTTCTAGAGTTTGTTGGTACTTGTGTTCATTTTGTGATCATATTTACTAGTTGATACTATTGAGGGTTTTTTTTCCTTAATGCAGAAAATAATTACATATCACAGAAAGATAAAACTGTAAAATAACATTATCACAATTCATTTTCTTGACTTGGGTATGCCTTCACCACACATACTGCATATGTCATCAATAATTACTAAGCATTTGCTTTGCATTCAATTCAATTGCACATTTACTGAGTGCATATTGGGCAAAGCATTTGAATAACTATTCGAGAGTAGGATGGATGCAATGGGTGCCCATTCATACCCCGTTCTGATGAATCCTTTTATAATCTCATTGGAAGGGGAAAGACAAATTTTTAAAGATGAAACACAAGTTTCTACACATATATTTTGAATTTATGCTCACTTCTCACACGTGGTCCAGTAAAAGAGGCACATTCTAGCATTGAAGCCTGGCATTCCTGCCCTCCAATCCCTGTTTCCTACTGAGATTATGCAGTTTGCCAACAGCTCGCTCCCAGTGTGAAGCAGCACTGATTTCTCACCACTGGAGGCTGTAACTCCTGTCTCTTTCTCTCACGCTATAGTTATATTCTCTAATGACAAAGAGATCTGGCTTTCTGGGGGTGATTTGGAGACATTGAAGTGCAAAGAAGACACACTCGAGAGAAGTAAAATATGACTAAAAGCAACGGAGAAGAGCCCAGGATGGGGGGCAGGATGGAAAGATTTCAACAAGGAGTACGAAAGCGCACACTTTTGGCCAAGAAGAAAGTACAGAACATCACAAAGGAAGATGTTAAAAGTTACCTATTTCGGAATGCTTTTGTGCTGCTCACTATCACCGCTGTCATTGTGGGTAAGTCATTTGATAACAAAAAAAAAAAAAAAAGAAAGAAAACCTGGATCTTGTTTCTCAACTGCCTGGGAATATTATCAGATGGACTGATTGTAGGTATTCAAAATGATAACCTCTGCTAGGCTTTCCTCTGAATTTAAAGGTTGTTTTTCCATTAAATGACAGTTTGTTGGTATGTTTGGAGCAGTATAGCATAAACATATGGGAACCTAGAAGAAGCAAAACGTAAAATCAATGGATCTTATGGAAAGGGGAAATAAATCAAATGTTTTCCCATCTCACGAACACAGAAGAGTGATAATTTAATCATTAGGCCTGAACAGCTTAAAAAAAACAAGCAAGCAGTCTCGATTTGGCCAAAATGCAATTATTATACAATGTCACTTTCATTTAAAACTAATTTACACAATTAGTACACCCAAAATGTGGCATGGGGCCCTAAAAGTAATTCTATTCTAACTGGTACTGACAGGAAAGGGAGTAGCAAGCTTAGATACAGAGGCTGAATCTTTTATATGTTTGCCCTCTCTCATCCAGCGACTGGGAAAGGTAAACTGGAGAAAATGTTAACACAGATCTCTTTCATTCATTGCCTCAAAGCGCCTGCCATAAATAGCTATACCTTTTTTGAAACATTTCAGCCAGTTACTAACTTTGCATTGTTGACAGTAATCTTTACTAATGAAATATCATTGTTTTTCTTGATTTATTTGTATCTGAAATTACAGTTTTTTACTAATGGGTAACATTGATCCTACTTTAAAATATACCTGAAAAAAAAAAAGCTATTTATTTAGAATTTTGGACTGAACCAATAGAGAAATCTTTAGACTGGTACTCACTTAAGCCAAAACCATGTAGTAAAAAAGTGTTTTTAATTTAAATTTCTACTAATCTGCCACAAATAGAAGCATTTACATGCAGGTTTAATCTCTATACCTTGGAATTTGCCACTATCTCCACCAACTGTAAAAAAGTAATGACTATAAAAGCTAAGAAAATTCTGCAGCATCTAAATAGAATTATAACTTTATCTAGAAAATAGGCTTATTAAATCCTATGGAGACTACAGCAAAAGAGCAATTTGTCACAAGAATTTAGATATATTCCAACATATTTGGCGCCTCTTAGTAATTGTTGATGATTAATGATTGCTCACTTCATTGTAGAGGTGTTCAAAGAGAAAATGTCCTGATTGACTTACAGAATAAAACTTTTTAAAAAGAAAATGATAAAAACTTTATTTCAAGATGTAAAAAGAACTTAAAGAACTGTACCATTCATGAACCTGGGGACTACACAAAAAATGCCTTCTTGATAGGTTCCCAGGTTTGAATACACTCCTGGAAGAAGTGTTTCAATACTGTGTCATTATTTTGGAAGTCAATGTAAAGTGTGGTAAGCGCTCTCCATTTATTGATTTAAATTACAGATGTTGTTAAGTCAAGCAATAGCTATATAATCCTATATAGCAGTATCTCAGCTACTTTCTAAATGTTTTATTAGGTACTAGCTCACTTAATCCTTAAACAAGTCTATGAAGTGAGGGTATAGATATAATTACTATGATCCTCATTTTATAGATGAGGAGATTGAGTCTGGAGAGGACAAGTAATTTGGCCAAAATCATGCAGCTAGTAAATACTAGAGCTGTCTGGTGCTGTCTAGTGCCAGATGACATTCTCTTAACCATTCTGACATCTTGCCTCGCTGTTCTGCTGACTGGTAGACATCTGGTGAGAAACTCCAAAAAGAGAAATGCTAATGTCTTGGTAGGGGCCAAGCAGCAAGTAGTGCTAGATGCTCTCATACAGTAGTGTCATTTCATTATATAATTTACCCAATTAAACTCAATGAAAATTATAATTCTCCTGCAAATGATTAAGCCATGTGCTTCTCTCTCTCTCTCTTTTTTTTTTTTTTTAACAAACACCCATTTAGTTTGCAATCCTGTATGTATAGTAATAGAGCTTTGTGATTCTGGAGTATGTTTGAAAAAGAGGCAGAAATGCTTATTCAAAATGTTATTCTAAATACAAGAGTTCAATATCTAGGACAGAAATATTTTACAGAGTAATGGAAAGTAATAAAATTTGGACTTGGAAAGCAGGTCGATGGAGTAGGAAATTTCTAATTGAGTACAAAGAAATAACATCTCTAATAGAAGGTAGATAATGCCAGGATTTAAGGGTCCACTTTCTCTAGGAGTTCTGGGATCATTTCCTGGCCCCATGAGGATTTCCTAAGATTTGTGAGAACTGCAATGACTTGGCTGAGCAGGGGTAGATAACTTGGCAGGATGCCTTCATGGTTGGCTTCACCAATGGAAACTGAGGAGGGAGAAGTAACAAGAAGAAGGCACTAACAAAGAAACAAATAAAAAGAGCTCATTGACAGTCAGTGAGACCACTGAGTCTGCACCAAAAACTTCCTCACAAATAGACAACGTAGCAGCAACTAGATTTAGGAGAGAAGGAAGAACTCTTCCGTTATCTCTTGGTGTGTCTTCTATTGACAAACCAGTGGAAACAAAGACTCCATTCAGCTCATCACTAGGTTCCATGTCGGTATCAGTCCCGGAAGAAATAATAGGGAAAGAACATGTCTGGATATAAACTCTCTAATTTATATTGTGGCAGCATAGGAAAATGGAATGTTATCAAGGAAGAAGAAAAGAGTTATTTTCTCCAAAGATGAGATAAGAAAACTATAGCTATTAATTTTTTAATTCTTAGGTTTAGATTGATTTAGTGAAAAAAAAATTTAGAAGACTAAGAACACCTGTATGTTGAGGAGAATCTGTTACTCAGTGTGTTTTGTCTTTTTGAAAGAAAGTGCTTTTTTTAGTATGTGGAAGTGGTAACTACACATGGTCTCCAACTTACAATGGTTTGACTTAGGATTTTTCCATTGCAACAAGGCAAAAGCAGTATGCATTCAATAGAAACCACGAGTCTTGAATTGGGGCATTCCTTTTTCACTTTCAGTACAGTACTCAACAAACTACATGAGCTATTCAACACTTTATTATAAGATAGACTTTGTGTTGGATGATTTTGCCCAACTAGAGACTAATTTTAAAGTAGGCTAGACTGAACTATAATGTTCAACAGATAAGGTGTATATTAAAGGTATCTTCAAATTATGATAATTTCAACTTCCAGTGGATTTATTGAGATATGATCCCATCGTAAGTCAAGGAAGATTTGTAAAAAAAATACTGCAAGGAGGAATAGAGACATGTGAATGCATCTATTCAAAATGAAGCAGAAAATAAACATTTCAGTACCAATTTCACTGTACGCACAGGCAGGCATAGAACCACATGTACAATTTGATGTCTTTTGTTTTTTTTTTTGTTTTTTTTTTGGTTTTTTTTTTTGTTTTTGGTGGGACCCTCACTGGCGGCCAGGGAACAAACCAGTGCTGCAGAGGCTGCGGGCAGCCTCGCAGCCCAGCGCTCAACTGCTGCGCCACCAGGGGAGGCCCACAATTTGATGTCATTTTTAAGCAATGGCATGTCTAATGTCATTTCTAATTCATGTCAAATATCTAGTGTACTATGCTGTGACAAAACCCCTCTAACAGGATCAGGTTAGTGACACAAGAGAAGGCAGTGTCCAGTGTTAGTCCCTTTAAGAGGGCTCATTATGAAAACATTAGCTAAAGTGTCTTCCAGAACATTTTGGTTGCAGATATCTGACAAAACCACACTGAAAATAGTGGTTACTGTCTTTCTCCAGGAAACACTTTGATTTCAAACTATGGTAAAGTTGTATCAGAGTGATCTCAGACATCTCATCTGTGGCTGTCCTGTTCGAGCCACAGAACTCTGAGTCTTTCCATGTCCAGGGAACAAATAGTACAATAAAAAAAAATGAAATCTCAGGCAAAAGAATTATGAAGAAATGGGTCATAAGATCAAATGCAAAAGGAGAGAACTATAAATAGATTTGTGTAGAATCAGATGGTGGATTGACCTGAGGGAGTTCACAGGAACTCATGCCTTTCTCTGTTGTTGACCTACACACACAACACAGACACACACATACACACACACACAGAGTTCATATTTGGGTTGTCTTTTATATGGATTTTTGAGAAATTGGTAATGTCTTGGGAAGAAAACATGCTGACTAAATTTATTTTTTTAATTACATTTGTTCATTTTCTTACATGATTGTTTATTTTTGTATAGTATTTGATTTCTCCCTTCAGGTGCAGTCCCTTAGTTCTCCCACCACCATAGCACCTGTGATCCATCACCACAGTCCCTTGTGCTTTTCCCCTCCCCTGTTTTGAGCCCTCTCCTGCACCCTACCCGCTGTGTGCCTCAGATCTATGGTCACATGCTGACTAACTTTATATGAAATGTTTTTGACTATTCCTTAACACTCCTTAGCACTGTATTTAAATTGCACTAAAATTCAAAGCATTGTCTATTTGTGGTAGACAATAAACTAGTGACCTTGGCTTCCTCTTGGGTTAGGAACAGAGTGTTTGGGAAATGGGATGAGACGAATATTACTTTCCTTTAAATACCTTTTTATAGTTGGAAAGCTTTTTCCCACATTCACCTGTCTTCTATTATCTGCTAAATAAATACATGATATTTTTCTTTAAAGGATTCAATGCTATTTAGCAATTTAACAAAATTGACTGTTATGTGTCTGGCCCTGAGCTATGCAATGAGAAGTCTCTGCCCTCCAGTAGTTTAGGAGAGATGGATGAAAAAAAAAAAATAATAAAGTGACATAAGAATATACAAAGTTCAGGGCCTCCCCGGTGGCGCAGCGGTTGAACGCTGGGTTGTGAAGCTGCCCGCAGCCTCTGCAGCACTGGTTCAATCCCCAGCTGCTCCCTGGCCACTGGAGGAGATTCCCACATGGTGCAGCAGACCTCTCCTGTCTTGCCCGCTGCTCCCCTCAGCAGTGTACTTCGGTCCTTCTGCCTGCTCTGCTCCCCGCTCTGGTTCTGGTGAATTCTCTCACCCTCCTGCC